GTCTCTAATTCTGTTTGTGACTGTTTCATAGTGAGCATGAACTTTTTCCTTGACTTTCCTAGTAAATGACCTTGGTAGGAATAGGAACTGGCATTGTCTCCAAATAGTCTTACCAGGGACAGCAGCACAAGGCATTGGATGGTGTGCCAGGTACTGGAATGTTCTTCACATTGACTTCCAGCCTGTGACTTCAGCCCACAGGTCCACTGACTCTCTTTTCCCTTTCCCTGAGATTTGGAGCTCTCAGAGTAGGTCAGCTGTGGCTCATCACCTCTGCCTTGGCTGGAGGATTTGCCATGCATGGCTGTGCCCTGGCATCTCCTAGAGGCCTCCTCCAGTCAGAGGGCCCCAGTTACCCCCCTGGGACCTTGAACTAACAGTCTAGTTCATGGTCACCTTCTGGGAGGGCTGGGAGCAGAGCCTTGTTCATCTTGGGGCAGGCAGGGAGGCCAGAGGTCCACGAAGGACCTGGCCTCTCTGTAGCTCAGAAATGAGGACCTGCTTACATACCAGCATCTTAAGGCTTTCCTTTGTAATGGTGCAGAGTGGCTTCCTCAAGCCTGCAGAGAGTTCCGGGGAGTTGCATGCTAAAGCCCCAGACTGCTGTGGTCTTGTGCTGGCATGTCTTTTTCCTTCTGAGTTTCTTGTTAAGGAGGAGAGCACAGTAATTGGGCTCCAAACACATTCAGATTATCACATCTTCACCAGAGCTAGCTGACAATGTGGTTATGACTAGTCGAGTGTTCGACACACCTTTTCATACCTGTCCATTAGAAATGAAAGTGACTCTTCTGTTGTTATTTTGGTGAGTTAACAATTCTTAACACTGGGGGAGGGGTGGGTGATCCAGCACCTTCTTTGTATGCTTTGGCATTTTGCTGTTTTTGCATGGCTTTGAAAACACCTCTAGACAGAGCCCGTTGCCCTCCATGGAGTCATGTGTCTAGATGGTGTAGCCTGTGCTTTATCCTGGACTTTTGGATCAGGAGGTTTTTAAAGACATGATTATGCTGTTGGCAGCAAATCAGAGCCCTCTCTCCTGCCTGCCCTCTATTGCCTGTGTCTGATTAGTAGAACATCCTGCCTGACGTGGCTCTTCTCTATAGCTGCATCTTGGGCCTTCATGTCCACTCTCTGACTGAACAGGTAGGTCTCTTTGCTGGTGGTCTCCTCTAGCATGCCGGTGTACCTTGCTGTGTTCTGTCTCCTGCAGCTCAGGTCCTTGCTCTTTTTCTGGTACAATGAAGTGCACAAAGCCCTCCATTCTCAGAGGAATGGTGCTGGGGGCTGTGCAGGGTCCAGCAGGGCAGGCGTGTAGGGACTGCTGCAGCTCGTGCTCAAGGGACTCAGGGCTAGCCCTGAGGGGGCAAGAAAGGGAGGGAGGGGAAGAGGGGGGAAAGGATGGACAGATGGAGGGAGAGAGGGACAGAGAGAGGGGGGGAGAGAGAGGAGAGAGAGAGAGAGAGAGAGAGAGAGAGAGAGAGAGAGAAAGAGGAGGGGAATTGCTACTGGATCTTTCAACCGCCCTGGTTCCTGCCTTTGCTCTGCTCCTTAATGACTCACTTTTCTTGGAGTTCCATTGGATGACTTTGTCTGGCCCTGGGAGTTCCTACCCTGTGGATGGAGCTCTGTCCCTGTGGGCGGAGCCTTGTCCCTGTGGGTGGAGCTCTGTCCCTGTGGGTGGAGCCTTGTCTCTGTGGGTGGAGCTTGTGTCCCTGTGCTGCCTGCAGACTCCATCATCTCCCTTGCTTCTGTCTCTGTATCATCTTGTATCTGTTTCTTCTGGCATCTGCACATCTCCTTCTCTCCTGTGGCTCTGACTTCCATTGGTCCCAGTGGAGAAGACTCTCCTGTCCCTAGCAGTCTTTCCTGGTCCAAATTTGCCTCACTGGACCCTGTCACATGTTTGTACTACCTGGCTGAGCTATTGTGTATGTGAGTGGTCCTGGGTCGCAGTGCTTGTCTCTGTCTCCACATGGAACTGCAGGCCTAGTTCCCTAACAGCTGGACATTGAGTGTTACCTGGGAAGCCCATGGTAACTGATAGCAATGGCTGAGGTGGATGCCACCCTGGGGTGCCCAGCCTTAGGCTGTGGAGCAGCATACACGCTGGTTCACAGCCCTCTCTGGCACTCTCCTGTACAGATGTAAAAGACACCCTATTTAATCTCCACATGAGGCTTGCTGTGTGTTGACCTGGGGGAGTCCTCATATAACTCTGTGGTCTCTGGAAGTTCTCCTCTGCTAAATGTCACAGGGCCCTCCTGAGAGTGTCTGAGGAAGCAGGGGCATGAGAGGTCAGTTGGGACATGATGCCAGTGCAAACTGTACCTGTGTCATGGTGACATGTGGCTACCTCTTGGCAGCCCTGGGTCGAAATTCATGCCAGCATTCCCCGGTCTGGGTGGGGCTTGTAAGCAGGCGTAACACTGATATGTGACTTAGGCATTATGTGTTTCAGTGTTTAACACATTGCTGGCATTAGTCCTCTAGATATCTTGAGTGTTTTTACCTTTAACTTGGTAGAACTTGGCTCATCATTTCTAGTCAAATGTATCTGTGTCAAAACCAGGTATCAGGTTATGATGGTTAATATTGTCAACTTGACATGATCTGGAATCACTTAGGCAGTATGCTAAGGGGTTAACCTGTGAGGGATTATATTAATTGAGGTTGGAATTCCTACCCCAACTATGGGTGGCACCATCCCATGGGCTGGGGTCCCAGACCAAACAAAAAGGAGAAAGTGAGCTGAGCACAAACATTCATCTCTCTCTGCTTCCTGACTGTGTCTGCAGTGTGACCAGCCTCATGCTCCTTCCCCATGAGTCCCTCTCCCTGGTGGACTGTCCCCTCGATTTGCGAGATGAGCCCTTCCTTAGGTTGCTTTTGTCAGGTATTTTATCGCCACAGCAAGAACAATAGCTAATACACACAGCCTTGGCCTCTGGTCCTGCCCACTGGGACGAGGACAAGTTTATCCCCTTCTTGTAGCCTCAGTTTCCTCCCCTGTGGACTGTGGACATTAAGCCCCTTTCTGCTTAAACCATATTGGTGTAGGATCAGTGGGAAGCTTATTGAAAATGGCATGGCTTCCTATGAAGAAAAAAAGAATTGCTCTAGCATCTTGTTCAGTAAGCATTTTGAGTCCCTTAGGAACTAAACATTTCTTGGAAAAACATGAAGTATTGATTGATAGTATTCATGAGAGTGTTTCATTGGCAAAGCAATGTTCTGTTTAAATTTCTGTTTCATGTGTTTGCTAGGAACTCATCTCTGAGGCCATTGCCTCCCCTGCTGGTTCATGAAAGACTCTGTCTGGGAATCCAGGGAAGTCTTGCTGCTGTGAAGTCCAGTGTCTGGCAGGCATCCGTCTCTGTGCCAGCACAGCAGTGTGCCCTGCTGCCCCAGGTTCTTGCCTTTTCTTTCTGGCAGGAGAGTTTTGCTACTAAGAGACAGAGAAAAATGAACGGGAGAGTGGGGATCAAGAGAGGTTTTCCTTTTAGACTGAAGAGAGGACGCATCTGCAGGCCAGTGGGAGTGCTCCAGCCAGGGGGGAAAAGTCCTTGTGTGCAGAAAGGAGCAGTGATTGTCAGAGTAGATGAGAGGGGAGGGCTCTGCACATGCCAGTCACTGATGATGTTTGTCCCGTGGCCCGTCTTCTGGGTGCAGGCTTTGTGGAACTTAAAGGTAATAATTGCCTCAGATGCCGATCTGCTCTTCTTCATCTCCCTGAGCCCACAGTTCTGCACACTGCGAGGCAGTGCTGCGCGGTCTGTGCTGACTGCTGCCCCCAAGCCCACACTGTGTGTACCACTGCTTGCACTGACCCTGACACCAACTCTAACAGGAGTGTTGTTGGGATGGCTGAAGGAGCAGGTGGGCCACTAGCATGTATGCTGGGAAAGTTGCTTCTGGCAGTGTGTGAAATGGGAAGTGATGTAAGCTGCTAATAGGGGAGTGGGGAGAGACATGGGAGGTCTACTTACCATGGACAGAGAAGGAGGCCTAGAGATCTGTGGGACTGCCAGGCATGGGCCCAGCCTCGATAGCAAGTAGTGCAGAATTCCAGTGCAGAGCTGGGCACATGTAGGTCTCAGCAGCTCCATGGGACATAGTGCAGGTGGGAGATGGCTTGGAGCACGATGGGATCATGTGGCATCTGCTGCCACAGAGGCTCATAAGCTGCCCTGCCTGCTGACTTCAGTCACTCAGAGATTACTTGAACTTCTCCAAGGCCATCCAGCTTTACAGCATTTAAGAATGGAAGTTGTGACTTAACCTGGGTTTGTCTGGCTCCAAGGCTGTTATCTTTTGTATCATGCCAATTCTTTCCTTCAGTCCACATGTAAAAATAACAACCAAAAATATCTGCTTCTTAGTTGTTTTGGATCCTAAATTTAATATTTTGTGTGTGCCTATAATTATTTGATGAGACAGAGAGATGAATACTTTTTCTCTTATTGTGTCTTCCTGCCTGATACAATAGGAAAACATGGAGAACTCTTGTGCATTTTTGTGAACAGTGATAATGCTTTAAGTAAGAAATAAGTGGTTTAAAAAAAGCAGCAGATTGCTTTAGTTCCTGTGCCAGTCTTTGAAAGGATCCTGGCTCTCGAGAAGTACTGTTTTAGTTAGCCTTTCCTTGTACCTGCTTTGAGAGAGTCTGTCTGGAATGTGAGTGACCGTTAGTGTGTTTCATCCATCCGAGGGCAGGGATTAACTTTCTAGGTTCTGTGCTTGTGTTTCATTTGACTGTGTTTTGCTTGGGGTCTGCTAATGAGTGGATACAGGTCATAGGGAGGTCCATGTTTGACTCTTCAGTACTGAAAAAAGGAATCTTCTTAGAATCATGGCCACCTGAGGTGTCGGTAGAGCAGTCTTCAGGAGACTGGTGACAGCTCGTGCGGCAGCCTTCATTATTTTCTTTGGCTCTTGGGAGTAATCATTGTTTATGTGAAGAGGAAATACAATTATTTTCCTTTTTTTCCTTACAGAAAACACAGCCATCTTCATGTGTAAATGCTGTAATCTTTTCTCACCAAATCAGTCCGAACTCCTGACCCACGTTTCTGAGAAGCACGGGGAAGAAGGGGTTAATGTGGATGACATCATCATTCCCCTCAAACCTCTAAGTACTCCTGAACCTCCCAACCCAAGCAAGAGTGGAGATGGTAAGGACAGCAGGCATGCTGGGCAGGGGCCTGTGGAGAAGGAACACTCTAGAATGCTATGAACCAGCTTTCTGGTTCATGGACACAACAGAAATCTAGAGAATCCGACATCCAGGAGTTATATTACTGTCTGAATGTCAGTCTTCTCTTGTAAGATTGGGTCTTTGCATTGCCCATTCCTTAGTCTCTGTAGGTATTCCTCCAGTACCTGGTTGGGGATGGGTGGGTATATGTATGTTTGGATGGAGGTGGCAGTATCTGATGCTATATAAACAGCAGCCTGTCCTCAGACCAGTGTGGGTAGAGCCCCACTCTGTCACTCAGCAATTGAATTATTTGAAGAAAACGAAGTTCCTTTTCTAACCCTTACTTTACTTTATCTGAAAAATGAAAACAAATATTCAGATTCAATCAGAGACTGCGCCTACAGCATCTATGATGGTGCACAGAAGACAATTAAGATATCGCTATAGATGATCAATAGTTCTATATATAAAAGAAACAGCATCTCCAGGCTCATAGTATCAACCTAAAGGAAGGTTCAAGCTGTGAAGCCCAGATTCACACAGCATCCTAAGGTTCTCAGTCACTGGGCAAAGTGAGACACATCTGTCTACAGCAGCTCTACCTCTGTCCCTGAACAGTACCAGATACAGCAGGTGCCGTGGGTTAGAGAAGCCAACCAGGCACTGTAATTAGGTCCCCACAGACAGTAAGGAAAATATATAGTACAGGAGGAACAGCTGCAACAAGACTTGGAAAAAATCCCCCACAAAACTCTTTTTATATGACGAGGGACGGCAGCCTGCCTCCTGAGCAGAAGCCAGTCTGTGGCAGTAAATGTCCCATTGAGGGCTCATTAGCCACTCTAATCAAACAGTTGCTTTCCTGGGAATATTCAGACTGGCATTTCTAAACAGTCTGGCTTATTGATCATCTGTTGGACACTGTTAACAAGGAGAGACTGCAGACAAAAAATGTTTGGTTAATAAGTCCCTCTGGCCCATTCCTAGGGTGCTAGAGAAATATATCCGACAGATGATTAAGTTGTTGAGAAGGTAGAAAATTCTGCTTGTTACTATTTGTGTCACATAGTGAGAAACTAAGAAAACCCAGCACTTGAAATGGGCAAAGGAGGAGGAATTGCTTTGGGTCAGTATCTCCCTCATGTGATGGTAGCCGTGTGCCTGCCTCTACCCTTGCAGGCCTCGGGGCAGGCTGTCCTCTTTCCTCACAGAGAAGCAGGTAGGAGGAGAAAAGTCACCCATAGTCACCTCTCAACATGCAGTGGAAGGTTGGGTCTCTGCTTTGAGGAAAAACAAAGGGTATGTTGAGGTATCTGCTTTGAGGGAAAAACAAAGGCACTAAGAGTCAGGTTCTCTGGGCACCAGGGGCCTCATGTTTGCTGCCCTGCCAGGCTAGGACTGACTCCAGAGAGAAGCTACCAGTGAGCTCTCCTGCTGAGCCTTCCAAGCCTCAGGCTTCCCTGGGGACACAGGTTCCAGTTAAGAATAATCTGCCTCTGGATTGAACAGTTCATTAGCTCAGAAAAATGGGCTGTTTGTTTGATCAGATTAGCCAGGCATATAGAAATCACATGGATTAACATGAAATGCACTTTGTAAATGGTTCTTTCAAAGGTTTTATTTCTCTTCATTGAGTGCTGCTTAAGATTTTTCTTATTGAAATGAACTGTAATTAAAGAGGGAAAATAATTTTGCATTTTTGCTTTTATAAATAAGAATTGAAAAGACAGTGACGCAGATGTGATGTTACTGGGAGTTCTGTGCTCTGGTGCTTTGTGAGATGTGTACTCTGTCTCTATCCTTCCCCTATATGCCGGTTGTTTTTTGCCAACTTGACACAAACTAGAGTCACCAGGAAAGAGGGAGCCTTGTTTGAGGAATTTTTTCCATCAGTCTGCCCCTGTGGGCATATCTGTAGAGCAGAATCTTCTTAATTGCTGATTGATATAGGAGGACCCGCCCACTGTGGGTGATGCTATCCCTGGGCAGGTAGGCTTGGGCTATATAAGAAAGCCAGAGGAAGCAGGCCAGTAAGCAGCGTTCCTCCATGGACTTGCTTCAGTTCCTGTCTCCAGGTTCCTGCCTTGACTTCCCTCCATGATAGACTCTAACCTATAGCCAAATAAACCCTTTCTTTCCCAAGGTGCTTTTGGTCCATTTTATGACAGTAACAGAAAAGTAATTAGAACACCCTCTTTATCATTGCTAATGAAAGATGCTACCATCCATTCAAGACCTCCTTCTGTCTTGATGGTACGACTGGTCTTTGACTCCTGCTCTCACATCAGTCCCCCATGGACATCTTCTCCCTTCATCATCTAAGGTCCAGCTGCTAGGAACCAGAAGTTGATCAAAGACAAGGTCACTCCTCTGTCTGGGAAGCTAGCTTCTCATAATGGCTTTGTCCAGGTACTCCTGCATGCTCCTCAGCCTTAATCAGCTTGGAATGACCTGGAAGGACTTGGTACTGGCCATGTGTGGGGTTAGAGTCCTTCCTCCTGTTTCCAGAACCCCACTGTGAGTGTCAGCTCAGTCCTTCCTTGTGTGTTCACTGTGTTCGTGTTGCTTTCTTTTGCCTGCCCCCAGTGATATCCTTCTCCCAGCAAGGCTTCATATTCTACAAGCTTCATAACCTCTCTAAACAGTGCCACCAGCTGGAGACCAAGTGTTCAAATACCCAAGCCTGTGGGTATGTAGGAATTCAAACCACCATATTACACTCCATGGCCTCCGTAGGCTCATGGCTATATCATAATGCAAAATGCTTCTAGTCCAACTTCAGGAATCCCCATAGTTTTTGACAGTCTCTATACCGTTCAAAAGTCCAAAGTCCAAAATCTCTTCTGAGACTCAAGGTAATCTCTTAATTGTAAAAAAAAAAATATTACATACATCTGACACATAATGGCACAGAATATACATTTCTGTTCCAAAAGGCAGGAACTGGGGCATAGTGTGGAAATACTGGACCAAAGCAAGACTAAAACCAAGCAGAGCAAACACTAAACAGTGTAGCTCCATGACCTATGTCTGGTGCTTTAGTTCCAAAGGGCTTGGATGACTCTGCTCCTCCAAACTTGCTGTCTGAAACATCTATCTTTCTCATGGTCTGGTTCCACTCCCTGCATGCAGCAGTTCTCTCCTGGCTCTGGCAACTCTGACATCTTGGAATCTCCACTGCAACCCAGGCTTCACTTTTACAGCCTCTCAGCATTGCATGGACTCCAGCCCTGCCACATGTTGCCTGGTCCCAGCAGCTCTTAGAAGCCAGGGGGGATGAACTCATGACCCCCTCTCTCTTGCATCTTTCATTAGGCCAAAGCCATTAGCACATGGACAGTACTGCCAAGGCTGACTGTTACCTTAGGATGGACCTTGGTCTTCTTTGACCACACTATTGACAACTTCCATATGTTGAAGCAATTGCTTTTGAGGAGCAAGCAGTCCCGTAGGCTTTCTCCTTTCATAAGTTGGAGGCTTCCCTGAATGGAGCCTTCCCCTGAGGGCACCCTTCCAGGACACTTTTCCTTAACGGCACTTATTTCTTTAGCAGTTTCAGCCTCTTTTGCAGCACATGCAAAAGTTGGCTGTAACAGTTAACTTCCTAGTACTCTTTTTTTTCTCTCCAGACTGTCCATTTTTATATTTCTGTCCTTCTCCCTCTTCTGTAGACCTACATAAGAGTTATCAGTAATAACCACGTTGCAGACTCAGTGTTAGGCTGTCTTGAAATTTCTTCTGCCAAAGAAATTAGTCCATTAGTTTTAAATTTAGCCTCACTTAAATTCTCAGAACATGGGTAGAAAACAGATTTTTTTTTTCTTTCCAAATATCACATGAATGACCTCTGTCCTAGATGCCTTGCTCTCCTTTGAAGTCTTATGAGCCAGGCACCTCTCATCTGTATTGTTCAGAGCACTGCTGTCTTCCAGGCTCCTACTGGAATGGCCCATTAAGCTCTGTTTACAGCATTCAACTGCTTTTCTAGTCCAGAGTTCCAAAGTCTTCCACATTCCTCCAAAAAAATAACATGGTCGAGTTATACCAACAGCCCACTCTCTGGTACCAACTTCTGTGTTAGTTACTTTCTGTTGCTATGATAGCATCAAAGTGACTTATGGAAGAGTTAATTTTGACTTATCGTTCCAGAGGGAGAGTCCATAATGGCCAGGGAGGCCTGGCAGCAGGTGATTAGTGCAGGAAGTTGAGAGTTCACATCTCAGTCACACAAGGAAGTAAAGAGACTGAACTGGAAGTGGGGTGAAGCCATGAGCTCTCAAAGCCTACCCCTAGTTACTCACTTCCTCCAGCAAGGCTTCACATCCTGAAAGTTCCATAACTTCCCCAAACACTAGCTGGAGACCAGTTTTCTAATACCTGAGTTTATGCAAACATTCTCATTCAGGGCACCACACTCTCTGTAGGCCAGTGCCCTTATACTGTAGCACAGGGCCTGCCTGATACATAGTGCATCTCCTTCCCAGTATGCCAGACCTAGGCATCACCCTTTGAAATTGTCACCCTCAGCTTTCTAACTGTTGACCTTGCTGCCTCCCTATGTCTCCTGGATGGTGTGCTCTGTTCCACTGGGCACTCCTCAGGAAGCTTCAGTGATGTCACCCAAACATTGCTAGTGACAATCAGAACAAAAATTAAAATGATTTGGCATTTTTATTTTTTTACTGTCAGATTTTCAAAAGCTTGTGAACACATGATAGTATCCTTGGTTGATACAAATACAGGAACATAGTGCTCCTATATCCCAGTAGAATGTAAATTGTCAGACTGTTTTAGAGAGCATTCTGATAGAACCCGGCAGACTTGTAAATGAGCACAAGTAGTTCTTGGAGGACCAGAGCCCACATAAATATACAACGTATAGTGTTCATGGTATACCATTTATACTAGCACAGAATTGGAGAGAAGAGATACGGCATCAAGAAAGTATGAGTGCATTACACATTACTTATAGAA